ATGGAGCTGCACAATCTTCACGTTCCAACCGTTATAGAGTTCCAAATCGTTTATGCTGTCCAGTAATGGGACGCCTTATTCTCTACTCTGTAGCTTTTTTCACACACGCAACATTGCAAGCCTATAGGCTGTTTCTATGGCAAATGTCCAGAGGCGTTCCACTTATTGGTTCCGCCAATTCAGACCTTTACAGCTTGTATTCGCCATACTACTTCCATTATGTCGGATTTATTTCACCCTTTTTCCCAGATGTGACGAGAAAGTTCCCCAACAACTGCTACTTTGTGGATGAAGCGTCCGCGCAGGTGAACACCATAAATTTAACCTCTTTAAACTCTTCATATCAAAGGTCAAACGTTATATATCCCTCATATCCTCTTCACTATCGAGTTTTTCCTTTATATTCTACGCCTAATCCATCATAAACATTTAAAAAAATAACCGTGTAATTTGATTGGTTGATTGGTTCTCGCGTTTTTTATTTGGCGAAATTTAGATTTTAAAATTGCTCTCAGAGTGTTATTCCAAATTAGTGAAATTTCTTTCTTTTTTTTTCTTTTTTTTTTAAGAAGCTTTTTAATTTCAATAATCTGCACGATTTTTTTTTAATCTTCCATTTATTTCCTTCACTTGATTCATTTATTCTAACTCCTGCACGTCGTCATTAACTGATTAAAATAACAGACACGAATCCCCCGCGGGGAACGGTGATAAGAGATGTTAAAATACATAAACGACCGTAATAAGGGAAAAGAAAGAAAGAAAGGAGGTGTAGGGAGGGAGATGTGTGTGGGACAGGGAGAGAGAGAGTGGATATAAATATATATAGAGAGCGAACTGCTAAGAAAACTTGTGTTTCACAGACATCTATTGAAACCGCTCGTTTGGGGATTTTTTTTTTTTAATTTTTGGTATTTGCCGGATAAATTAGAAAACACATCAAAATATAACAGACTTTAAAGATGAATGAAAATTAACAAGTAATCAATGGAAAACAAATCCGGGAAACATTGCAGCAATTTTTGAGGCCTTAAACAGTTCCAAAATAATTATTACAAGACAGGAGTCGACAACCTTTTGCTATGTGCTGACTTAGGATTTTAATATCATTCATTGTGTCAACAGGATACGTATTTTTATACAAGTTCAATATACCTGTTCTCCAATATATTTTATGTAGTAATATAAAGTATATATACTTTAGTTTGTAAGCAAATATATGGATATAGATCCGACAGTATGAAGAAAAATATATACAGAAAAAACAAACAAAAATCCTTATATACAATTTATACTGTTTTAATGTTAATCTGTCAACGTCGGACGTTTCGGTCTAATAAACCATCTTCAGGACATATTCATAAATTATAACGTTATCAATACAACATGACAAAGACGATGTACATAAGAAAAAGACTTATCCAAACACAATAACTGAAAGTTTTACAATGCTATAGTTGTACACACAACTAAAGCAGATCATAATTTCGATTTTGATTCCGTGAAGATTTTAAAATATTTTCATAATAAAAATCTTAGGCGGATTTATGAAGCAGGCATAATATCCATCTCACGCACGGTGAACACTAGACCTGGCTTCTTTAGTATTTCCCCTTTTCTAGCAAGATTAATGCTCGACAAGCGCACATATAAATTTTAGATCAAAATAGAATTCTTTTCATTTTTCATTCAAAATACTCAAATTTTAGGAATACGTTTTCACAGCGTCGCCCACGTGACAACAACGTGACCATGTTTTAAACGGAGCGCTGATCTTATAAAACTTTCAGTTATTCTGTTTGGATAAGTCTTTTTTTATGTACATCGTCTTTGTCATGTTGTATTGATAATGTTATAATTTATGAATATGTCCTGAAGATGGTTTATTAGACCGAAACGTCCGACGTTGACATATTAACATTAAAACAGCATAATTGTATATAAGGATTTTTGTTTGTTTTTTTCCGTATATATTTTTTTATATTTTATTTAGTTTATATATAATATTGAAACATATAAATATCTTCTTTGCGTTGTAAATAGTTATTGGTTCTTATATAGTTCAGTCTAGTCGGGCGACCGGCTGATATTAACTGGCTGATCGGTTGAACTCTCTGCCTTCATTAATTAGGAAACCCGAAGGAGCCTATGTTTTTCAAGGTGGATTCTCTTTCGGAGAGGTAAAATCAATTTAACCCGTTTATACAAATTCAAAAATCTATTTTTGGCCGAGCCCGCGTTAAACCGGCCTTGTGCCACATGACGCCCTCGTGGGTGGGGGTGACTAAATACTGTTATTGGTTCGGACTGTGTGCTGCAGGAAATTGCTTGACGTGTCATGCGTGGTACGCGTGCCATATGTTGCCAGCCTGTTATAGGAGGCTTGTTGGAATAATGTATAGCGGCTGGGATTGAGGAAGAAATGAAAGTAATTCGTCACTGTGGTATTAGTAAGGCAGTTCTATGTGTAAAGGCCTGAACTGGGGGAACGAAAGAATGGAACTCCTCTTAACATTTGCCATTGATCGAGCAATAGGCTTACAAAATTGCGCCCATGTGAAAAATGGCTGCAGAGTAAATAATAAGACACCCCGTTACTGGGCAGCATAGAAGATTTGTAACTATATCAAGAGAGGAAAGTGAAGATTGTGCAGCTCGAAACCAGATGCGATGGCAAAACGTTTTTTTGTCTTATCTGGTTAACTCATTCATTTTATAGGACTTATCAAACCCTTTGTAGGTTATATAAATCCAGAAAATATTTTTAGATCGTAAGAATTTGGGATGGGGGGTGGGGGTGGAGCTAATCATCCTTTAGTGATAAAAGTCTTACTAATTAGCACATAACTATTTAGGGAGAGGTGGATTCATGCCTTTCTCAAGGATATTTGCGCGTAAGTGAATATAACGAAGCCAACTGGAATTAGAACTCTGCTCCTTGATTAACAATTCCCAGCGATTATCTATTACGCTACCCGCACATCCAAGCTTACGAAATCGAGGATCCGAGTTCGAATACTATTCGAGTTCATTAGATTCACTTACATGTTAATATCTTTGGGAAAGGCATGAATCCATCGCTTCTCTACGCCATAAATAAGCGGACAGACTGGGTCTTATGGCCTCGGGTGGGAAGTAGTGTAAGAGTATGGCAACTATGAAATTAAAATTTGAACGGGCTGAGGGCGATGCACATCAAATTCCGTAATCTTCGGCTATCGGTCAAGAGCTGAGAGAGGAGATATGGGCCGCAAAGTTATATGAAAGCCCACTGAAAGGTTCAGGAAAAAGAATAAACAAAGTCTGTTTCTTCTGTACACAGATCCCCTCCGAGGATTGAAGCAGGTGAGGGGCAAAAAAAAAAGGAAAATAATAATTCTGCCGTTTTTGATTTCTTGTTTTCCACGATTTAAAAAAAAGCAAAATCATGATCAGCCATATTATTTTCTCTTCTTTCTTTCGTCTTACGGCCGTATCACGTTGAAACAATGGTTCTCGTACAATCATCAAAGTTAAGCAACGCCGAGCCTGGTGAGTACCTAGATGGGTAACCGCTTGGAAATACCAGGTAAGGTTTGATTTGAAGCTGGTGTCGTGGATAACTATTCGCAATTGCTTTTTTCTTTTTCTTTTTTTCAAACTCCGCCGAATATTTACGTTATTTACATTGTTATCCTCATCTTCATCACCAATATCCACAAGGACACATGGCTCAGTGGATAAAGGTGTTATCTAGATCCAGTGACTGGACCCAAAGTGTTGACTGTTCAGTTCCAGGCTACAGCAGTGTTGAACAAAAAAAAAACCTGGAGAATCGAGGTAAAGGGAAATAACTGAGACATCAGGAAGAGGCATGGCACGTGGAACTAGAACAATCTACCCGCTGGACGAAATAAAGAGTTCGGTTCAAAATTCCAATCAAACGAAGAAGGCCGGAGCGTACAAGAAGGCCGAAACGTTGTGAATATGGCAATGAAGATGAGGATAACATCCCGAATAATGTAAATAACGCAAGTAATCATAATACCTCATCTCAGAGATACAGAGAGATGGATATGAACATAAATAGAAAGAGAAATAGACTGATCGATATGAATGGAATAGTTAAAATGGAATAAATGTTTCAGTTCAAATTTTCCATCACTTGAAGAAGACCGGAGCGTACAACGGCCGATACGTTGTGAATATGCCAATGAAGATGAGGATAACAGTCCGGATAATATAAATAATCATTATACCTCATCTCAGAGGTGTAGAAAAGATATCCAACGAACGTGTCTTCTGATTAAAGAATTTGAATCACTTTTTTTGTTTTTTGGTTCAAGTTGGAGGAAAGAAACAGGAAATGATTTAACACAGTCGAGAACGATAAAATTCTTGGGAAATTTCAGGAAGAGGGGAGTTGTAACGTCGAAAAACGTTTCATTTGAAATATTGGATTACATTGCTTTTAGAAACCTTTCGCTCATTTTTTTTTTTTTTACAATGGCGAATAGCGACCTGGGTAAGACGATAAACTACATCCAACAAAAAGGCCTCTGATCAGGAGGTTTTGAGAATCGCGGAACCACCTCTTAATTGCTGGTGTTCCTAGGTCTACACTGACCCAGGTGGTGGCGCCTGTTAGGGTCCCAGCTATGAGCAAATAGTTGACCCCAAATCTCTATGAAAGTGTACAAATAGGTTTTAATACCAGCAATACATTTTTGTAAAAGGATATTACCAGCAATGAAATTTGAAATACAGATTTGAAAAAAAATATTACCATCAATAAAAATCTTGTCAGCATTAAATAACCCATTGAGATGATGATATGCCGTTAAACAAACCAAACCAAACAACTAAAGGATCGAATCTGTTTCTTGATGTAAAGGCGAATAAAAGTCATTTTAAACTGGCGGACATTTGTGTGCTTGTGTCTGTTCCTACATATGTTCATATATATGTTTAAAAGGTTTTCCGTGATCTATTCTTTAAGTGTCGCTAAGTTATTTATATATCTATGTAGATGAAAGAAAGAAAAAAAGAAAGAAAGAAAGAACAAAAGAAGCATATAGAACAAAAGAAAAACGAAAAGAAAGAAAGAAAGAAAGAAAGAAACATATCGAACGAATAAAAACGAAAAGAAAGAAAAAACAGAAAAAAGAATGAAACAAACAAACATATTGAACGAATAAACATGAAAAGAAAGAAAGAAACAGAAAGAAAGAAAAATATCGAATGAAGGAAAAACGAAAAGAAAGAAAAACAGAAAGAAAGAAAAGAAAGAAGCATATCGAAGAAAGGAAAATCGAAAAGAAAGAAAAAGAACAGAAAAAAAAGAAAAAGAACAGAAAGAAAGAAAAAAACGAAAAGAAAGAAAAAGAAAGAAAGAAAGGAAGAAAGAAACATATCGAACGAAGGAAAACGAAAAGAAAAAAAACCGAAAGAAAGAAAGAATAATGTCGAACAAAAGAAAAACGAAAAGAAAGAAAAGGAACAGAAAGAAAGAAAGAAAATATCGAACGAAGAAAAAACGAAAGGAAAGAAAAAGAGCTCAAAGAAAGAAAGAAAGAAAGAAAGAAAGAAAGAAAGAAAGAAAGAAAGAAAATATCGAACGATGAAAAACGAAAAGAAAGAAAAAACAGAAAGAAAGAAAATATCGAACGAAGAAAAAAACGAAAAGAAAGAAAAACATCAAACGAAGAAAAAACGAAAAGAAAGAAAAAACAGAAAGAAAGAAAGAAAGAAAAAAAGAAGCATATCGAACAAAGGAAAATCGAAAAGAAAGAAAAAGAACAGAAGGAAAGAAAGAAATATATCGAACGAAGAAAAAACGAAAAAAAAACCAGAAAGAAAGGAAGAAAGAAACAAAGAAAAGGTATTGAACGAAGAAAAAACGAAAAGAAAGAAAAAGAACTCAAAGAAAGAAAGAAAAAAGAAAGAAAGAAAGAAAAAAGAAAGAAAATATCGAACGAAGAAAAAATGAAAAGAAAGGACAAACAGAAAGAAAAAAAAGAGAGAAAGAAAAAAATAAAAGAACCTCCAATGAAAAAATGTGAAGAAGCTTTTGAAGAAACTTGAGTGAAAGAAAAATAAAGAATGAAGAGAATTTTAAACGAAAGACGAAAAGAGAAAGCAAACGGAAAGTGAAAATCGGGAAGAAAATATCGAACGAGGAAGAAGTGAAAAATAGAATGAAAATTATGAGTGAAAAAGAAAAATGAAAAGAAGTGAATGAAATACAGCGACATTTTGAGAAAAAAAGAGCCAATAACACAACGAAGAAAAATCCTTGAAGAAAAAAAGATGAAAAATATTGAAGGATTGTGAGAGAAAGAAAATAAAAAAGAAGCATTAAAGAGCTGGATATTGAAGGATTTTGAGAGAAAAAGAAGTAAAAAAAAAAAAAGAAGGAAGATTAAATAGCAAAAGGTGAAGAAGTTATTGAAGGTATGAGTGGAAAAAGAAGAATGAAAATTTGACGAATAAATTACTGAAATATTTAATAGGAAAGCTGGGAAGAAGAAGGATGAAGGTGAAAATGTTGACAAAGATAATGAAGGAATATCAGTGAATGAAAATAAAAGATTAATACGCGAAGTGTTGAAGAGAAAGAAAAATGAAAAGAAAAAGAAATATTAACTTGAAAATCGTGACAAATTTATTGAAGATGAAATAACTGAAGAAGTTAATGAAGGAATATGAATGAAAGAAAAAAGAAGAAGAAATAGGCGCTGAATAATTTTGAGGGAAAGAAAGAGACAAGAAATGTAAAGGAGAATATACTGACGAGAATATTGAAGAAATAAGAGTGAATGAAAAAAATAATAGAACGAATTCTGAATGATTTTTAAAGAGGGGAAGAATGAAAGAAGCAAACCAAGAAGAAAAATGTGGAGAAAAAGGTATAAAATATATATGAGAGAAAGAAAAAAACAACCCCTTCGGTAACTCTCTAGCTTGAGTGCATCTTGTGGCTTGTAATAATTCAAGTCTCCTCGTGGAAGAAGAAACAAATCAAGAAATATTAAAAAGGAAACCTTGACGAAAAGGATCTTGAAGGAAGTAAGACAAAAGAAGCCGAAGAGACCGTGCTAGAATGAAACGCTTTAGAAGACAATTTACCAAAATACACCGACGAAAGCGTAATGAGTTACAAATGCCGAAACGCGGGAAAAAAAGATAGTTTTTCGATATTTGCACGAGAACCAACTAAGACTAAATGCCACAAGGTATCACCATTGTTTAGAAATATTTTTTTTAATCAGTCACTTGACAAGAATTCATGTTGGCCAAAGGGCATTTTTCTCCCGTAGGCCAACACTGGATAATTCTTGCAATAAACTGAATGAAACTGCTTGTTTTCTCAAAACCGTGATGGAGGGGAACGACAAAGCGATCTTTCATTCGCTTTAGGGCCGATGCTGTTGTTGTTGTCGTCTCAACTTTTGTTGTCGACGTTGGCATATTTGTTCATTTGACGTGAAATCTATAATTTTATTTGTCATAACTTCCTTCTGAATTAGAGTGCACGGAAAGTTTTCACGGGAAGCTCTGGGGCGTCGAAAAAGAAAGAAGCTAAAACATTTCTACATTCGTGTTTGGTTTATGAAAAATAGAAAATATAAAACATGCTCGTAGGGAAGTTAGAATAAAAAATAAAAATAAAATTCCAGGTATAAATTTCTGTCATTTCAACGGCAAAATATTGCCGAAACCAAAAATCTATTTTTCATCTATTGGAATGTGAGCATCTTCCCAAAATCTGTTAATATATATTTAACACTTTCACTACTGCGTTCTTGATAGCGTTTTTGACTGGCCTTGCTTGTTATTTTGAGGCAAAATAGTAAATTGTCCTTTTTACGTTATTATTCGTCTAATACAAAGCCCAAGAGCCCCTCAAGGTAGAGGTTCACTAATTGGGATTTGTTTATGCACATAAAAATTCGATGATAGTATAGATAACAGTTGACCGTAGACGAAGAAGTCATTGCAGTGTTTCGGGAAGTAAATGCTCGGGTGTCTGTTCCACAAAGCAGCCGTCCTTAAGAAAAAGCTGTGTGAATGGAACTTCTTACCAATGGAATACGAAGCGAATGAACGTGTATGACTGCAAGTGCAGATTATGTATAACAGATAACGGTTGAATCTTGACTTGAACATGTTAAGATTGAAGGTTCGGGGAAGCATACTCTTGGGAGTCTGTTTCATGAAGCAGTGGTTCTTGGGAATAAGCGGTGCCAACGGAATACGGAGAGGATTATGATGCTTCGCCATGTCAAATTGGTATGGAGGTTCTTAATTGTAACCGTCTTAAGAGGTTCAACTAGAAAATGTAGATTGTCAGAACCTTTTGCCATGGAAATAGCGATGGAACAGCAATAGGCTTACGACATTGCGTCCGTAGTAAAAAAAAAAAAAGAGGATTGTCGGGTAGAAAATAATTAATCCGCTCCAACGTAAATGCTTTGAACTCTGTCAACACTTGAAAGGGAGGATTGCCAAGAACACTCCGTAATGTGAATAATGGTTAATGGTACGGATATTTGTATGGCGCGATCGCGAATCCTGTGACCCATCAGGGTGGTAAGTGCACCAAAATAGAAATGACGGAGCCCAAGTTACCTTCTCCTAGGTCTTTTGTCACCCAAGGCTATAGAACGCAGCTGGGGAAAAATAAGAGTCTTTTCTACAAAGCAGCAGTTTCTGGGAATAATATGTCCGAATGGAACTTTCTTTTTGCCAATCGCCTACGAGGGGAATAGTGATGATTCGACCTTGTGGACGTGCCACGGCCGGACTTAGCAGTAAAGGTCTGAACTTGTGGAAATAATGAATATAGTTTGTCAGAATCTTTTGTCATGGAAATGGCGATGGAATAGCGATAGGCTTACGACATTGCGTCCCTAGGAAAAAGGGTTTGTCAGGTGGAAAATCAGCTTCATGAGCGCTTTGAACTCTTTTGACTTGAAAAAGAGGATTGGCAACAACGCTCCACAGTGTGAATAACGGTTAATGGGTCTCCTATTTATATGGTGCGTTCCCGAATTACCTGCAGTAGAAATGGTGTTTCTTGGGCAAGATAGCCTCACCAGGCTGGAATTCAGAGTTACCTTCTCGTAGACCGCTTTCAACTTAAAAAGTATTTCCTGTCATTTACCATGGAAGGGAAGTGAGAAGAAGAGGGTACATAACTTTCCCAAGAATATTAGCACGTAAATGAATGTAATGGATTCGACTGGAATTCGAACTCAGCTCTCTGATACCCCAATTCGAGCCGCTATCAAATACTCCGCCATGCCTCCTATTAAATTGAATTAAATTAAATTAAATTTATGCAACTATCTTAAAACGTAAGGTTTGCTGTCGTGGAAAGTATAATTGGCAGGCCAAGTTCGATTTTTGACATTTTGAATGCGTGGACGCATGGCAAACTTATAAATATGTAAGATAGATTCTGGAGTGAAAAATTGTCTAACACGACACAATGAACCAACTCTGTTAGCATCAGACCTAGCAATCAATTCAATATAATCTTTCCATTTCATTTAAGGGAAAAATGTTCGCCCAAGAAGTCATAAAGTGTCGTTCTCCTGGAGGTTAGCATCAGCCATATTGATGGGTGGCAAAAAGTCTTCTCTCAGATGATTAAAAGAGAGCAGTTTTGTTTTTGCTAATGACAATCTACTAAAAATATTCTAATATTCATCTCTAGGTTGTCTCAATTGATTTCACTATTAACTGCAGGAAATAATGAATGTAGCGTGTCTGAAGCTTTTTCCATGGAAATAGCGATAGGCTTATGAAGTTGCGTCTTTAGGAAAAAGGATTGTCGGTTGGAAAATAATTAATCTCCTGCAAGAACGCGTAAACGCTTTAAAACTCCACCGAGGCAGCAAAGAGAAGACTGTGAAGCTCCAGCCCAGATATGGCAACAATACTCCATAATGTGCATAATGTTTCAACTCTGTGCATGAGTCATGCCGGATTTTATCTGTAATGCTCTGAACCGGTGGAATAGAAGAAGGTAGCTCGTTAGAACATCTGCCATGGAAATAGCGATAGGGTATCTACAGGCTTGCAACGTTTCCTCTGTGGGAAAGTGGTTGTCGGTTAAATGTGTTTTCGTCTATACACGGACCCTGAGCAAATCGGTTCTCTGATAACATCAACATTTCAGAACAAAAGTGTTAATGACAGCGCAAGGCATTATATATTTAGCCCCCAAACTGATGACACTGACCAGACCCCGAATTAACGCCTAATTACAAGCTTATCCACAACTTAATTTAAAACCCAAAATGCATTCAAATAAGAGGGTTACTGAATGAGGTTCTTGAAAGTAGATAACGATTGACCCGCACTTTAAATAGATTAAGATTGTAGTGATCAGGGAAGTATCCCCTCGGGAGTCTCTTGCACAAAGTAGCAGTTGTTGATAAGTTTTTCGAATGTAACATTCTTCTTATTAATGGAGCACCAAGGGAATCGGGATGATTCGACTCTGCATCCGCGATATACTTGTAGAAAAATACAAGGATAATATCCTCATCCACATGAAAAAAAGACTAAAAATAATGGAAACACTAATAATTGAACACTCAATAACATCAACTATGAACACGGCCAGAATGTGCTGACCGTGTTTAGAAAAAAAAAATTCTAGATGCGTAGGAAATAAATCTATATATTCAGTTAAAAATAAAAAAAATAAAATTAACCTTTATAGTGGCTAAAAGAATAGCCGAAAGCTCTCAGATATACAGAAGATTTGGACAATTTTGATACATTTTATGACCAGAAAAGAAAACCCTTACAGGATCAAAAGAAAAATTAATTAAAAAACATAATCGAACAACCTTCTCACTCATCTTTAGTGAAGTTTCTGCCAAAATACACAAAATTTATATATATATATATATATATATATATATATATATATATATATATATATATATGTGTGTGTGTGTGTGTGTGTGTGTGTTGTGTTGTGTGTGTGTGTGTGTGTAAATAAATATATAAAAAAATCAGAAAGAACACGTTAGGTAAATATCCGAAGTATTTTTGTTTTTATTTAAAAAAAAAAAAGGTACTCAATACAAAAGTAGAGCCAAAATTATAATTATTCTTTAAAAATATGATTCCTTCGCTACATAAGAGTTTTCATGTTTCAAAAACAAGAGCCAAAAATTTCAATATAATTTTTAAAATTAAATTGAATTAAAGTATCTGTTTGATACCTTAATTAAATTTAATGTTTATCCATTTTTTTTAGATACAAATATTTAAGTAAATTCTCTGTTTATAATAAACAGTATTAAATAACATTTACCGGCCTGAATATCCGAGAAATTTTCACAGAAAATATTCGTCCTCCGACAGGATTCGAACCTTTACCCTATACGGAACCGTCATTTAGCTTGACGTGCCTTAACCAATTTGACTACAGAGGAGCGTTCAGTTAGCAAAGTCGAATTTACTGTCTATAAACTTTAATCTTAAGACACGGCGATTGCTCCAGCTTTTATAATCCAATGCTGTACCATAAAAAAAATTAAGCAAACGTATCGTATGAACGATTTTGTGTAGAACAAGACAAAACACGCACACACAAACACACGCACACAGACACACACAGACACACACACAGACACACATATATCGTACTGAAGATTTTATCTATTATTTATTAGGTTTCTGGTTTACATCCTCGAGACCACATGTCTGGGTGCCATGAATGGAAGACATGTCTAAATTTTCGCATTCGAGTTCTTCCTATTCGACATCCGTAGCAGAAATTAAGTAACGAAATAACGAAGGATTTCGCCTTTTATTTTTAGATATAATAAACACGTATAATAATAAGAATATATATATATATATATATATATATATATATATATATATATATTTACATTATTTGGACTATTGTCCTCATCTTTATCACAACGTTTCGGCCGTTGTACGCTCCGGCCTTCTTCAGGTGGAATGTCGAACTGAACTTTTTTAATTCGCTCACTGGGGTAGACTGTTCTAGTTCCACGTGTCATGTCTAATGGATCTAAGTTATCAGTTATCTCCTGTTAATTTCCCTCTGAAAGTTCTATTATTGCCTTAATCGGGTATTGAACTCACACACTTTTGGGTCATGTCACTGATCCAACCAACGCCTTTATCTTTTATATATATATATATATATATATATATATATATATATATATATATATATATATATATATATATATATACACCAATATTCCATGGTTATAATTTATTACACTGGAATCGTAATCATGATTGGATCTAGATTACGATTCCAATCTAATAAATTATAACTATAATATTAGTGTTTGAGACGTTTATATTATTTTATATTATGATTGCGTTTAGGATGAAACAGACTGTCGCTTCTGAATGTTGACTCCAATGTTCTGTTTTATAATTATATTTGCACGCGCTCTGTCTCTGATAGTGATCTCATTATCCCATAAATAAAGCATACATTAAAACTATATTTCTTCAAATATATATATATATATATTCTTCTTTTTTTTTTGGCAAGGCCAAAACCACTCGAGATAGAGGATTACATTTGGTGGACATGTGTGTGAATGACAAAAGTTTACTAACCTTGAATTGGGTCGCTCTTGCGTGTTTTATATATATATATATATATATATATATATATATATATATATATATATATATATATATATATATAAAATAAATAAATAAAAAAAATAAGTAGGAGGATTTGATAAACATATAAATAAATTCATTGAGTCTGATATAAACCTCAACAGGAAAATAGAGGAAGCACTGGACGGCCGTTTCGTCCTATAATTGGGACTCATCAGCAGTGTGCATCCACCACATCCACGGAATATGTGAGTGAGCGGCGCTATGTTGAGTCTGATATGAATCTCTTCGGTGTCGAGGCCCGGTTGGTATAGTTGGTATGTTGTCTGTTTGACAACCCAACTGTCAGGGTTTCGATACATGGTGGTAGATGCGCACTGCTGATGAGTCCCAATTATAGGACGAAACGGCCGTCCAGTGCTTCTTCTATTTTCCTGTTGAGGTTTATATCAGACTCAATGAATTTATTTATATATATATATATATATATATATGTGTGTGTGTGTGTGTGTGTGCCTGAGTTTATTTTGTAAAGTACTCTGAGTCTGTCTATATGTCTGAGATGAGGTGTTTTAATTATTTACATTATTCACATTGTTCGGTCTGTTGTCCTCATCTTTATTGGCATATTCACGAGGTTTCAGTTTTTTAACTACCCACCAGCCTTCTTCAGGTGATTAAAGGGAGAAAACTGAGACATCCAGTAGAGGCAAGGCACGTGAAACTATAAATACCTACCTCAGTGGACGTAATAAAGCATTCACTTGGAAATTCCAAACACCTGAAGAGGAGCGAAGAGTACATTAGTCGAAACGTCGTGAATGCAACAATACACACACACGCACACACACACACACACACACACATATATATATATATATATATATATGAAGAAAAATATATACGGAAAAACAAACAAAAATTATTCTATGCAATTATGCTGTTTTAATGTTAATATGTCAACGTCGGACGTTTCGGTCTAATAAACCATCTTCAGGACATATTCATAAATTATAACATTATCAATACAACATGACAAAGACGATGTACATAAGAAAAAGACTTATCCAAACAGAATAACTGAAAGTTTTATAAGATCAGAGCTCCGTTTAAAACATGGTCACGTTGTCGTCACGTGGGCGACGCTGTGAAAACGTATTCCTAAAATTTGAGTATTTTGAATGAAAAATGAAAAGAATTCTATTTTGATCTAAAATTTATATGTACGCTTGTCGAGCATTAATCTCGCTAGAAAAAGGGGAAATACTAAAGCCAGAATTATATTTTATGAATATGTCCTGAAGATGGGTTATTAGACCGAAACGTCCGACGTTGACATATTAACATTAAAACAGCATAATTGCATATAAGGATTTTTGTTTGTTTTTTCCGTATATATTTTTCTTCATACTGTCGGATTTATATCCATATATTTGCTTACACACACACACACACACACACACACACACACACACACACACATATATATATATATATATATATATATATATATATATATATAAAGAGTGAACATTGAAGTCAACACTCAGACAGACTGTTTCATGGTAGAAGCAATCGCCATGCCTCGAATGTTGGATTTTTCCTCGACTATTTATATATATGTGTCAGTGGTGCATTGTGGGTAATCTATTCTGAAGGTTATTTTTGCGGGAGTGGCTTGTTTGTTTATTTATCTATTTATTTGTTTGTTTGGGCGAATTTATTTTGCTTGTTTTTTTAATTTTTCATTCTATATTATTTATTCTTTTCCGTTTTTGAAGTTTTATTAACGTAGTAAAAAACATTTTGGGTGGGGTATTTGCTTAGGTCACTTATTTAATTGTTTGTTTTGCTCTGGGAAGATAATTAAAGCTATTTATTCGTCCAATGTTTAGATTGCTTGCCGTAGTCTATTCTGTTATTTTGGCGGGTGCGTTGTTTTTAAATAATTCGTTTATTTATTCGTATTGATTATTTGTTTACGTTATTTGAACGTGTTGCGCAGAGGAACCTTTGCAAATTGTTGTGTAATCGTCTCTTGAATGTTGCATTTTAATGTGAAATCAAGAAATAAATGTGTTAGAACTGTAGCGTAGCTTAAATGTGGCACAAGGCCGAAAGTATGGGGCACCCAGTGAGGATCGAACACACTACTCAAACGTAATTGTTCTAGCGAGACAAGCTTGTTAACCATTACATCGTCTCGAGGTGCCCAAAGCAGAGCATTATATTGTAAATTATTTCAAGTAGAAATATTTACTAATAATAATGAATTCCTTCACTCTTCATACCGAGGCGGTTGTTAGTACCGCGATCCATGGTATAGTATCCTACTTACCAATGCCGATGCACCACAGGATTTTAAGGTTAGCTTTGTAAACTGTTGTATTAGACGACCTCCGATTTTGGGACGCAATTTTTAAGATTTAGAGATCACTTTATACGCGGAAAATAAACGGTAGATAGATAGATAGATAGATAGATAGATAGATAGATAGATAGATAGATGATAATGAACAGATTGAAATAGATAAATAGATAGAGATAATGAACCGATTGAGATAGATAGATAGATAGATAGATAGATAGATAGATAGATAGATAATGAACAGATAGATAGATAATGAACAGATTGAGATAGATAGATAGATAGATAGAAACAATGAATGAGATAGATAGATAGATAGATAGATAGATAGATAGATAGATAGATAGATAGAAACAGAATGAGATATTGTAGATAGATAGATAGATAGATAGATAGATAGATAGATAGATAGATAGATAATGAACAGATTTAGATAGATAATGAACCGATTGAGATAGATAGATAGATAGATAGATATATAGATAGATATATAATGAACACAGACTGAAATAATAAATGAAATAGAGAGAGATAATGTTCAAACAGTTTGAGACAGATAATGAACCTATTGAGATAGATAGATTTTAGATAGATAGATAGATATATAGATAATAATGAACCGATTGATAGATAGATAGATAGATAGATAGATAGATAGATAGATAGATAGATAGATAGATAGATAGATAATAGATAGAAAATACATAAATAGAGATAGATAATGAACAGTTTGAGACAGATAATGAACCTATTGAGATAGATAGATAGATAGATAGATAGATAGATAGATAATGAACCGATTGAGATAGATAGATAGATAGATAGATAGATAGATAGATAGATAGATAGATAGATAGATAATGAACAGACTGAAATACATAAATAGAGAGAGAGAGATAATGAACAGTTTGAGACAGATAATGAACCTATTGAGATAGATAGATAGATAGATAGATAGATAGATAGATAGATAATGAACCTATTGAGATAGATAGATAGATAGATAGATAGATAGATAGATAGATAGATAGATAGATAGATAGATAGAAATAAATATAATTCTTATCTGTGTAAATTTTTGAAATCTTTTTTCTTTCATTCCGTTCCTTTTCATTCAATATTTACCAAAAAAGATTTTCTATCATAATATTTCTTCTTTCCTTTTATTAGTTTCTTTTTCTTGCCGATCTATTTATTCTTTTATTCTTTAAATTTTAACGAAAATAAATCTTTTGTTTCACTGTCTTCATTTCCTCCACATCCACATTCTCTCTCATTCCTTTCTATTCGGCTTTATTTTTCTGGTGTAAATTGCTGTTGATTTCATATCATTTTTATGTTTTTCCTTCACTCTTTTATTTGTTTTGGTCGGCACAGTCGCCGTCCATCTTCCGCTTCTTTCTTTTGCAACTTCTTTTATTTCTTTCTCTTCTTTCTTTCGTTTTCTGTATTTTAGTTTTTCTTTCGTTTTTGAATTTTTTTTTTAATTCTTTTCTTCTTGCTTATTTTCTCTTTCTTTTTCCTTTCTTTCTCTCGATCTATCTCTTTTTTTCTCTCGGTTGGTTGCTTTTGCTTTTTTCATTTCTTTCTTTCTTTCTTTCTTTTTTCACCCAAGTAATTTTCATTTTTCGTTCTTTCAATTTCTTTCTTTTCTAATTATTCTTTCTTATTGCTTTCTTTTTTCATATCTTATCATCATTCATTTATTTTTTCTTCATTGATTTTCATTCTTCATTTATTTTATTATTGCTTCTTTGTCACTGCTCCAATCCTGCCGCTTTCATTCGTTTTTTCCTATTTTTCTTTCGTTTTATTTTTTTTTCTTTCTTTCTTTCATTCTTTCTTTTTTCTTACTTACTTTCCGCTTTTTGTCTATCTTTCTTTTGCTACCTTTGAATTTATTTTCATTTTTAACGTTCCTTTCATTCTCCTTCTTTTCTTTCTTCTTTTCCTTCTTCTTCATTCTTTCCGATAAATTTTTCTTTCTTTTTCTGTCTATTTTCTTTTCATTTATAATTCTTCTCGTTTTTAATTCTCCCTATGCTATTATTCTTTCTTTCTTTCTTTCTTTCCTTCTTTTTTTCTTTTTTCTTTTACGCAATTTTTGACCTCACTTTCATTTTTTTTTCGTTTTTCCATTCATTTCTTTGTAATTCTTTTGTTATCTGTATGTTCGTTTCTTCTTCTTCTTCTTCTTCTTCTTCTTCTTCTTCTTCTTCTTCTTCTTCTTCTTCCTCCTCCTCCTCCTCCTCCTCTCTTCTTCTTCTTCTTCTTCTGATATTTCCTGTTCGGTCTTTATACTTTTTCTGTGTTTTTTATATTCTTGTTGTTGTTGTTGTTGTTGTTGTTGTTGTTCTTCTTCTTCTTCTTCTTCTTCTTCTTCTTCTTCTTCTTCTTCTTCTCTTACTTTCTATTTTTCTTTGTTTTTTTTTAATTCGTTTGTCCATCTTGCCTTTATTTTTTTAAAGACTTTTCAATTCTTTCATTATTTTTTCATTTTTTCCTTTAAATTATCCTTTTTTTCTTCTATCTATTCTGCACTATTTGTTTCCCTCCGCTTCCTTCCTTCCTTCCTTTCTTTTTTCCTTCCTTTCTTTTTTCCTTCCTTTCTTTTTTTATTTCTTCCTTTCTTTCTTCCTTTCTTTCTTTCTTTCTTTCTTTCGTTCGTTCTTATTTCCACGTCAGCTATTCAGCTGCGGCGTCACCTGTTTTCTTTTCATTCCGTGAAGGGTCGGCGACGGACTTTGACCAAATTAAACCAAGTTTATCTTCCATTTGCCGAGTCGGTTATTAAAAACACTGGTCGCTATTTCAACACACCACCTTCTCCCTTCTCGGCAAAATCCCCTCTCCACACTTTCTCTCCACTTCGTCGTCTCCTATGTCCTTCCTGTTAATAAGCCGCACCCAAAACCTTTCCTCGTGCATGCACGCATCTTCATCATATAAGGAAAACACTCCATCAATCCTGAACCCCCATCTACAGCCACCCGATTCTTTACTATATCCATAATGTTTCCACCCCTTTAGAATCTCCCTCTCTCTCTCTCTCTCCTCTCTCTCTCTCTCTCTCTCTCTCTCTCTCTCTCTCTCTCTTCTCTCGTCGTTATTTCATTTTCTGGAAAGCCTAATGATCCACCCATTGCCACAGTCACAGACGTGTCTGTCCAATTCTTTGAAACTGTTTTCGTCAACTAGCAAATTAAAACCATTTTTCGCGGCCATTCTGTCGTGGGTTAACAAGCTCTTTCCGGTATATTGTCTTTCCGTCTTCCTCTTCTAGATTCGTCTTTATCTTTATACAAACATCCCTTCCATCTGACCAAAGTTTACAAACCTACAATTAAAAACCAGGCGAACACGATTCTCTCTTGCTAACAGTCTCTCATAGCTATAAACACTCACTAAACCTGTTTCTTCGTTTTTTTCTAGGCCATTTAGCGATATGGTCGATTACGGCTCTCCACACCTACCTGTCCTTTGTAGATATTTGTAAGATTTGTCTTTTTGCTATTAATTCTTATCCCTGTTCTGCAAAACATTTAGATAAATTTGTTAGATTTATTATTCACTCATACGTGTACCCCGTATGGGCGATCATGTCTCTTTTAATCCATAACTAACTAGACAGAAGTTTTGTTTTTTTTCCCCGTAGTAGGTTGTCATAGTCTGGTTGCCAACCAAGGCTAAAGTACACAACGATCAGTCAGTCAGTTAAGATGCATTATTCACCCAGTCTGTCAGTTAAGTCTCATACGTGATACACGCTTGGGCGATCATGTCTCTTCCAATCCATGTCTGATTATTCCCGCAGTAGGTTGTCTTTTTTTCCTTTTTTTTTTTTTTTTGCAATCGACTGATTGCCATCCAAGACTATAGAACCCAGTCTTTTTTGCTATTCAACTCATAACTGGAGAGAGAAGAGACTGATCCATGCCTTTCCCAAGGGTATTTGCGCGTAAGTGAATGTAATCAATTCGACTGGAATTCGAACTCGGCCCTCGCATTTCATTCCTTGTACCTCAACTTAAAATTATTCACCCAATAAATCGAAAATAATGGTGTTTATTCTTGTGACACATGGAAAAATGTACATATCTGAATTTAAAACTGAAATATTAATTTCAAAATATCAACTACAAAATTATATTATATTTGATATATATATATATATATATATATATATATAGATATATATAGATAGATAGATAGATATAGATAATATTAGTTTTTATAAATATACACATACATATACAAAATATATAAATATATATACATAGGTGCATACACATACATGTATATTTTTTGAATAAAAAATTCTAAGAGGATAGAATCCAGGTAGAACTCAATGTCCAAACAGAGTTGAGATATATAATAAAAATAAAAAAGACTAATATTCCATGGTCATAATTTATTCCATTGGAATTATAAATACCAATCCAATTCATCAGATCTAAAATTCAAAAAATTTTTTTTGTAGGTCTTTTTTTTTCTACATTTTAAATATATATAGAAATATATTTTTATATATATATATATTATATATATATATATATATATAGAGAGAGAGAGAGAGAGAGAGACAGACAGACAGACAGACAGACAGATAGACAGACAGACAGAGCGATGAATAGAGATAGATAGATAGATAATAATTTTAGAATGATATAGAAATTATATATATATATAGATAGATAGATAGATAGATAAATTATGTAGATAGATAGATAGATAGATAGATAGATGGTGCAAATAAAATGATCTGACACATTTCTATGTTTAATAAAAGCAAAATAGAGTAAAAAACGAAAAATGCGTTTTTATTCTCGAAATGTACATATAATGCCATTTTGTTTCATTTAATATTTAAAATGAAATCAAGGGAATGTGAGGCTTCTTGATGGTTCTTGAATGGACTTTGAAGATGGAAGCCGGAGTAAGAATGTTGGTAACATTACTGAAGGCCTGAATGATCATTTCCCTCCTACCATTGTTCAGTTGAAAAGACAGTGGGGCTGACACAAGACGATTTTAATCTGTTCTTTTTCTAGCTGAATAAATCGTAGGGATTTTCAGTGATGTTTACAACAAATGGCATCAAGATGGTTAAACGTCTTATCTGAAAACCTTGATAAAAAGAAACTCAATTAGTTTAATTTTAATGAGCCACTGTACTTAGTTACGAATAATCCTTCTCAGACAAGGAGGATATTTTAAAATTGTTTTCAAATTTACAGCATAAACCTCATCATCAAGTTATCCTAGAGAAATTTCTTTTTAAATGAACACACACACACACACACACACACACACATATATATATATATATACACATATATATATATATATATATATATATATATATATATATATAAAATTTATAAAAATGGACAAAATTTTTAATTTTATAAATTATTTTCCTTTATGTTTAACGTTTTTTTTATAGATACAATTTATTTAAGTAAATGCTCTGTTTATAATTAACAGTATATAAATTTTATTTATAATAATGAATGTTAAATAAATTTTGAGAAATTAAATATTTCCTGTAGAAAATATTTATATAAATTCATAAAAATTCCTTAACATATAAATATATATAAAAATATATATATAATATATATATATATATATATATATATATATATATATATATATATATATATATATATATTATTTTTTAAAATTTAAAAATAAAATAAAATAATTTAAAAATATTTTTTTAAATATTTAAATTTATTTAATCAATAATTTAAATTCAAAAGTTTCCACAAATTTAAAGTTTAAAAAATATTTTTTTTCAAAAAAAAAAACATTTTGTTTTATTTTCCATTTTATTTTTATATTCGTTTTTAACTTCATTTGATAGATGTATATTATATTTACAGTGTTTTTGTTTATATCTTCCTTTTATCTTATATTTTAAACCTTATTTGAAACAAATCAAAATTTTAAATTTAAAACTATGAAGTAATTCTTTCAGGTCTTTCAAAATTTCATTTTATTTTATTTTTTAAAATATAATATTTATATATTATTTAATATATAATTATATTTATATATATTTGTTTTTTAACTTTGTTATTGATAGAGTTTTTTTTAAACAAATAAAAATTTTATTTTAACAGACAAAAAATAAGATAATGTTTATCTGATTATTCTTAAATATATATAATTATATGTCCCAACATTATTGAATATTAATTATAGTCCTTAATTAAATTTGATATATATTATATTTTATAAATAACTTTTCTATCTTAAATAATATATATCC